GATCGCTACCCCTTTAAGAGAGGGGTGTGGCGCGTGCATGTGAGAGTGGGTATGGTAGAGCGAGAGTGAGCGAGCGGTAGATATGTTTTCTGGAAATGAAACGAGGCAGCAGGAAAAAGCATAGGTCTGTGATGTATCTTGTGAAACGGAAGAACTAAATAAATACAACGACCTCCCAAGACGGACTAGCCTCTCTCCAGTGATTTCATAAAGTGGGTTATTGAATCCGAAGCGTGTTGCTTCTGTCCTGGGAGACGACAAAGAGTCATCCCCCCCTGTTTCCTCGACCACGGTCTGTGAGCCGACAGTAAAGTTCAACACAGACATTGATATTGGATGTGTAACATAATTCACAACTAACTAGAACCTATGTTGAGGATCGGGAGAGGGACAACAGTTATTTCAAAAAGCACTGGTAGTGTAAGGGACATCTTAAAGGGTCAGATAATAAAGACAGACATTGGCAGTGTATTAAATCGATGTGTGTGGTTGTGGAAATACTGGACGTGACGTTGTGCGATTGCGTTGCCATGCAACAGCTTCGGTTCATGTTAATTTACAAACTCTTCAACTACAACCCTAGTTATATTTAAAACATTTTTAGAAGGCCTCGCAAAATACTTTAATGTAAATTAAAATGTGAAGGAATGTGTGTATAAAAAAATACATCCGTCATAAACACAATACCGGAAACAGTAGGCAAGATCTTCAGCTGATTGGATGTTTTAGCCGCAAAGCATGTTGGGATGTGTTTATGCGATATGAAATCTGAAAACATGTTTTAAAAATAAAATAATACTTAATTCCGAGTGTGCTTGCTTTTCTCTTTGGAAGTCATCACATAAATGCATTGTAATACACGGTTCGGCTGCATTAAATATTAGACATCTGCCGTTGTTCTCTCTTTATAGAGCCCTGATGAGAAGACTTCTGGACAAACTGAAGAACTGTCGCCGAAACCTACGTGACCATCCATCCATCCATCTTCTCCCGCTTATCCGTGGTCGGGTCGCGGGGGTAGCAGTTCCAGCAGAGAGCCCCAAACTTTATTTTCCCTGGCGACATCAACCAGCTCTGACTGGGGGATCCCAAGGGGCTCCCAGGCCAGCGAAGAGATATAATCCCTCCACCTGGTCCTAGGTCTACCCCTTGGTCTCTTCCCAGCTGGACGTGCCTGGAACACCTCCCTAGGGAGGCGCCCAGGTGGCATCCTAACTAGGTGCCCGAACCACCTCAACTGGCTCCTTTCGACGCGAAGGAGGAGCGGCTCAACTCCGAGTCCCTCCCTGATGATCGAACTTCTCACCTTATCCCTAAGGGAGACACCAGCCACCGTGCGGAGAAAACCCATCTCGGCCGCTTGTATCCGCGATCTCGTTCTTTCGGTCATGACCCATCCTTCATGACCATAGGTGAGGGTAGGAATGAAAATGGCCCGGTAGACAGAGAGCTTTGCCTTCTGGCTCAGCTCCCTTTTCGTCACAACGGTGCGGTAAAGCGACTGCAGTACCGCTCCCCGCTGCTCCGATTCTCCGGCCCATCTCACGCTCCATTGTTCCCTCACTCGAGAACAAGACCCCGAGATACTTGAACTCCTTCACTTGGGGTAAGGACTCATTCCCTACTTGGAGTGGACAGTCCATCGGTTTCCTGCTGAGAACCATGGCCTCAGATTTGGAGGTGCTGATCCTCATCCCAGCCGCTTCACACTCGGTTGCGAACCGATCCAGTGAGTGCTGAAGGTCGCAGACCGATGAAGCCATTAGAACCACATCATCTGCAAAAAGCAGTGGTGCAATCCTTAGTCCACCGAACTGCAGACCCCCTCCCCCATGACTACGCCTCGAAATCCGATCCATGTATATTACAAACAGGATTGATGACAAAGCGCAGCCCTGGCGGAGGCCAACCCTCACCGGAAATGGGTCCGACTTACTGCCGAGGACCCGGACACAGCTCTCGCTTTGGGAGTACAGAGATTGGATGGCCCTGAGTAGAGACCCCCTCACCCCATACTCCCGCAGCACCTCCCACAGTAACTCCCTGGGAACTCGGTCATACGCCTTCTCCAAGTCTACAAAACACATGTAGACCGGATAAGCGTACTCCCAGGCCCCCTCCAGGATCCTTGCGAGAGTAAAAAGCTGATCCGTCGTTCCACGACCAGGACGGAATCCGCATTGTTCCTCCTCAATCTGAGGTTCGACAATCGGCCTGACCCTCCTTTCGAGTACCTTAGAGTAAACTTTCCCGGGGAGGCTGAGTAGTGTGATGCCTCTGTAATTGGCACACACCCTCTGATCCCCCTTTTTAAAAAGGGGAACCACCACCCCGGGCTGCCACTCCTTCGGTACTGTTTCCGACTTCCACGCAACGTTGATGAGACGTGTCAACCATGACAGTCCCTCAACACCCAGAGCCTTCAGCATTTCCGGGCGGATCTCATCCACCCCCGGGGCTTTGCCACTGTGGAGTTGTTTGACGACCTCAGTGACCTCCCCCCGGGAGATTGGTGTTGATCCCCCGTCATACTCCAGCTCTGCCTCTAACATAGAGGGCGGAGTTGTCGGGTTCAGGAGTTCCTCAAAGGGTTCCTTCCAACGCCCTAACACTCCATCAGTTGAGGTCAACAACGTCCCATCCTTACTGTACACAGCTTGGATGGTTCCCTGCTTCCCCCTCCTGAGACACGTGTCGGACAGTTTTCCAGAACAACTTTGGTGCCGCCCGAAAGTCCTTCTCCATGTCTTCTCCGAACTTCTCCCACACCCGCTGCTTTGCCTCGGCCACGGATGAGGCTGCTGCCCTTCGGGCCTGTCGGTACCTTGCATCTGCCTCGGGAGTCCCCCGGGATAACAAATCCCTGAAGGCCTCCTTCTTCAGTCGGACGGCTTCCCTGACCACCGGTGTTCACCAGGAGGTTCGAGGGTTACCGCCCCTTGAGGCACCTAGGACCTTGAGACCACAACTCCCCGCCGCGGCTTCGGCAATAGAGGCTTTGAACACCGACCACTCTGGTTCAATGTCCTCAACCTCCACAGGAATGCCCGAAAAGCTCCGCCGGAGGTGTGAGTTGAAGGACTCCTGAACTTGGGCCTCCTCCAGACGTTCCCAGTTCACCTGAACTACACGTTTGGGCTTACCAGGTCTATCCAGAGGCTTCCCCCGCCACTCGACCCAACTCACCACCAGATGGTGATCAGTTGACAACTCCGCCCCTCTCTTTACCCGAGTGTCCAAAACATACGGCCTCAGGTCCGATGATACGATAACGAAATCGATCATGGACCTTCTGCCTAGGGTGCTCTGGTACCACGTACACTTATGAGCATCCTTATGTTCGAACATGGTGTTTGTTATGGCCAATCCATGACTAGCACAGAAGTCCAGTAACAAACCACCACTCCGGTTCAGATCAGGGGGGCCGTTCCTCCCAATCATGCCCCTCCAAGTGTCTCCATCATTGCCCACATGTGCGTTGAAGTCTCCCAGCAAGATTAAAGAGTCCCCTTCAGGAGCCCCATACAGGACTCTTTCCAGGGTCTCCAAGAAGGCCGTATACTCTGAACTGCTGTTGGGTGCATAAGCACACAACAGTCAGAGTTTTCCCCCCCATAACCCGCAGGCGTAGGGAGGCGACCCTCTCGTCCACTGGGGTAAACTCCAACAACGAAGCACCTAACCGGGGACTTGTGAGTATCCCCACACCCGCCCGGCGCCTCACACCTTGAGCAACTCCTGAGAAGAATAGAGTCCAACCCCTATCCAGAAGTAAGGTTCCAGAGCCGACGCTGTGCGTAGAGGTGAGCCCAACCAGATCCAACTGGTAACGCTCCACCTCCCGCACAAGCTCCGGCTCCTTCCCCCCCAGAGAGGTGACGTTCCACGTCCCCAAAGCCAGCTTCTGTCGCCCGGGTCTGGTCCGTCGAGACCCTCCGCTTTCACTGCCACCCTTCTGGCAGCGCACCCGACCCCATCGCTGTTTCCCGTAGGTGGTGGGCCCGCGGGACGGAAAAGCGGAGGTGTTGCTCACGTTGCCTTTTCGGGCTGGGCCCGGCCGGGCTCCGTGGCAAGCCCGGCCACCAGACGCTCGCCGACGAGTCCTCCTTCTGGGCCTGGCTCCAGAAGGGGACCCCGGGCTTCCTCCGGGCCGGGTATCCTCACTTCTTGTGTCGTCTTTCATGAGGTTTTTTGAACCAATCTTAGTCTGGCCCCTTGCCTGAGACCAATTTGCCATGGGAGACCCTACCAGGAACACAAGGTTCCAGACAACACAGCCCCCAGGTTCATCAGGGCACACAAACCTCTCTACCACGGTAAGGTGCTGGTTCTTCAGAGAGGGGTGCTGGTTCTTCAAAGAGATTCGACAGGCACATAATAATAATAATAAAGCTTTATTTATATAGCACTTTTCATACAACTCATGCAGCTCAAAGTGCTTTACAAAATGACACATCACAAGTTAAAAACAAACAACAAGAAATTCCCCTCAGATTATTTGTAAAGAATTTTAAAAAGTACATGCAGCAAAATATAAAATGTTATCAGATAGACACATGGAGGTAAAATGTATGATAATGAAAATAAAATAAATAATGGTTTCTCTCTGACAGATAAGACACAAGACAACTGAGTCGATGCAACAATATAAAATATAAACACAATTTATATTATAAACATAATTATTCAAAGATTCAATGCAATTACAAGAAGTAAAACTGTTTAAAAAACCCAACAACAATACAAATGTGGGAATTAAGAATGAGTATATGTTTGTTTTGCTTTCAAAATAAAAACATGTCTTGCTGAAGTAGTTTCGGAAATAAACGGTACTTTTTGTAGGTTGTATACAACACCTGCAAATACTCAGTGGCAAAATGATTTTCAAACCAGTAAATAGACAGATGATTAAAGTTTCATTTATTATTATTATTATTATTATGTTAAATGAGAGCTTTACTTTGAAAGTGACTATCGGAAGCTCTAAACATTGAGTGAGTGTTTGGACTTGACACGCGGGCTCCGTCTCGTGCTGTCAGCGCTTTGCCTTCAGTGAGTCTGCGGTGTGTGTGTCTTGTCTGCTGCCACCTGCACTGTCCACAACAGGTGAGAACACTGCTTCCTTTCCTTTATAAACGTCTTTGTTTGGAAGAAACGGAAACTACCTCGGTTAAACAAACTTGTATAGTTAAGAAATATAAAATACTGTGTGTGTCGGGGGAGAGAACAGCCTGACAGTGAGGCTGACAAGTCAGCGAACGAGGAGAGGTTCGATGTACTTTATACCATTAGCAGCGGACACAGGATAATGAACGAGTCCGGCCACAGAGGCTGAGCGTCGGATTTAAGCGCTCTCTGCAGCCGGAAATGCTGCCCGATGCTCCTGCTGATCCACCCGCTGATCCACCGGTTTACGGTACTCCCAACACTTCAGCGCCAACATTTATGATACCAATAGGTGGGAGATGTACTCAGATATTTTAACTAAGCAAAAGTACCAGAGTATAGTAATACTTTTTTACAAGTCAAAGTCCTGCATTCAAAATATAACTCAAGTAAAACTAGAAAAGTATTAGCATAAAAATATAGCATAGTTAAAGTAGCAAAAGTACAAGTAGGCTAGTCATTGTGCAGATTGGTCCATTTCAGAATAATATGATATGTTTTATAATGATTGATCATGAAAGTGTTCTCAAAGCTGGTAAAGGTGCAGCTAGTTTGAATGGCTTTGTATACTGCAGGGTAGCTTGTGGATTTACTCCAGGTGGAACTAAAGTCTGATTTAACACTTGATTATATTTCACATTAGGCATACATTGTACCCCCGAAAAATACAAATAACGAATTGTGTCAGGTGCGCGTGACCTGCTCCGCTGCGCGTGCATCATTTCCAAAGTGCTTCAGCAGTGACACACATCTGTGGATAATCATTTATACGAAAATGGTTAAAGCAACCATCACTAAACGCCAGCAACACTGCATCTACTGCAGACCGTAGCAACAGGTCAGATGGGGACATCACGTTACCCTCCGTTGTGGACACTAGCTTACTCCCGCCTGACTCGCCGCCCTCGCCCCCGGAGCAGCAGTCTTCGTCGCCCCAAACTACGCCGCCCCTCTGCAGCCCGCAGGTGCCAGGATACCTCGGCAAAACAGAGCCTGCCCAGTGCCCAGGTATATCTAAACAAGTACCCGCCTGTACAGTGGGGTTAGGCGGTCATTTTGCAGCTCGTGGTATACAAATAGACTGGAATATGCATGTGAAAATAGTGCCATATTCTGCCATGCCTGTAGAAATGTTGGGTCACACATAATGCATACAATAGCACAGATGCCTTCACCACGAATGGCTACAAAAAGATCTCATATCCCAAGCTTATCAACGAGCTAATGTTGCAGCTGAAATGTTCTCCAGGTCACAAAGTCAACCTCACATGATGATGTGATCCCAGTTTTCAAGCACAGTAATATTCTCTTCCCAGAGTATATGATGGGACCAAGGTGATGATGTAGTACATGGTTTTAATAATACTTTTGCTTTTCAATGTTTGCCATTTCAAACCATGAGCTGGTTCAAATAATATGTGCCTTGATTTACAATATGTTCTCATTTGTTTTATCAGTACAGCTTTGAAGCTTTTGTGCTTTTCTTTGCCACAGTCCACTTTGGACTATATGAGATATTTCAGGATTGCACTTTTAACTCACTTGAAATGTTCTCACTTGCTTGGTTTCAAAACATAACAAATGCCATAATCTGTTCATTGGGGCCATCAATGCTATTTTATTATTGAAAAAGTCTGACATTTGCAAAGTTATGATTTAAATCTCTTGTTTTTGATCAAATAACAAGAAAAGTACACATTTGAAGCAAGTATTAAGGTGTGATAAACCAGTCCTCAGCTGTATGGCGAACAAACAGCAGGGTCATAGAAATGGTAGGATACAAAGAGGCTATAATTTTCATGAAAAATATGTTTGAAATGGTCATAGACTCAAAGGGATTCTCGTCTGTCTTTCTAGGATTCTCTCTGCAGTGTCATTTCATGTTGGGCTGCTGATGCCTTCAGGTTAACAGGGACAGACTTTGAGCACACACTCAGTCCTGCAGGCGAGTACACTTCTACACGTCCTCCTGTAACTCCAGATCTAAGTTCACCACCATCAGAGAGAATGGAGCCAGACCCGGACCACGCTAGGAAAGTGATCTCCTGGAATAGTCCACCTTCCTCTCTCTAGATGCTGCTAAGCCCTCTATGGATTCAGCAGCTACCTGTTCGCTCACTTACAAATATTTGCTGAGATAGTTCTATTGAAGGAACATTGAAGACAAAAAGCCACCTGGGCTTGATGACTGTGAGCACTCTGTGTCTGTGGTCAGGGCTTCAGTCATGGGGAAGGAACAGGACCTGCTGCTGGCTGTGAAGACTGGAGATCTTCTGCTGGCACACAAACTTCTCTCCAAAGTCAAGTGCAGCAAAACAAGTAAGTACACAGCTTACTGTATGTATGCAATAGCTTTTGTATTAGTTTATTTATATTTTGTATTAGCTCATAATCTGAATATGTAAAGTAATGAGTAACTAATTGTTTAATTAATGTAGTGGAGTCAAAAGTACAATATTGGCTTCCAAAATGTAGTGGAGTAGAAGTAAAAAGTAGCATAACATCTAAATACCCCAAAATCATACTTAAGTACAGTACCTGAGTTAATGTACTTCACTACATTAACCTCGGGTCGTTTCCAATATGAAATATAACTAAGTAAGAAGAGGCACAGGAGTGGGGGATGTCACTTCTTAACCAAGTGCAGATTGTTTGCGAACCATAAGTTCAGGTTCAGCTGTGGACAAGTGGACAGCACTGGATATTCTCCTGAACACAGACCCCCGCAGCTCCTCGCTCCCTGGGATGTGGTGGGCTTTCTTCTGCTTTCAGATGTTCTTATCTGCATAGATTCCAAGTCAAGCAACAAGCAAGCTCTTTACAGAAACATTGACATTGAAACATTGAAACATGACGCGTCCTCCCTTATCCAGCCTGGGGGAAGTTAAGGCCATCATGCTGTGAAGTTGAAGTCTTTCTTTGTGGCGTTATCTGCTCTGAGCTTTCATCAGTATGGCTGCCTGCTCAGTGACACACACACACACACACACACACACACACACACACACACACACACACACACACACACACACACACACACACACACACATACATACACATACATACACATACACATACACATACACACACAAAACAAGAATAACCTACAACAATAGGGAGCCCTGGCTCAAGGACGGACAAAACAAGGACACCACACATGATTCTTTTCCAATTACAGTATATTTATTTAAAGAGAGTAACTCAATTGTGATATCAGTTCATCAGTAATGTGTGTGTAGTGTATGGGTGTGTGATGAGTCAGCAGGGCCGGACTAGGACCATAGGTCATGTCGTGATTTATACACCCAGCCAGGCCATACCAGTTTGTTTGGGGGCGTCTTGCTGGATGTATCGTCAATATCTACAACGTTGTTACCCTACTCAGTTGCTATTTCCCTTGTGCTGGACCCTGAATCTTGACTTGTCTTGTCAACCTCCTCAGCATCTGCTGGTACTGAATAAGAACCAGCATTGGGATTCAACTCTGATCAATAACTATAATAACTTATTGAGAGAACATGAACATAGCTTGCTTATACTGTTGTCATTACATTTCCTTTGGTTGTGTTCAGTGTCAGTCATAGCCTATTGAAACAGTTTCCTCTGTACCTGCCAGTTCTGTCCACTGAGCTCTGCCTGCATCTCCCTCAGGGCCATCACCATCAGCATCATCTGATAGTGGAACTGAATAAGGAGAACATGTAATCATTAACAACTATTTATGAAATAACATTATTCAAGAACATATATTATACAACACTTATGTTATCACTAAGTTGACCCTGTATTTGCATGGCCTGATACCATAATGATGGTCTCCCCTTTAGACAACATAACCATCTCAAGTTATTCACTCACAGTATGAGGGGTTTGTAGCCCCGCAGTTAGCTGCAGTCTAACGGTAACATTAAGGACATGTTTGGGTTTTGTGTTGCCTTATAGTCTCCAGTCACACAGGGCCTGCCACTAACTTAGCATTGGACTGAGAAACAGTTTTGTTGACAGTCGATGTGCTATCAGGCTACAATATAGAAAGAAAAGTGGCTCATAATAGTGCTCACTGACACTAGAAAAGTGGATCACATCACTCCGGTTCTGAGATCATTACACTGGCTTCCAGTCGGCCAAATAATTGATTTTAAAATACTACAGCTAGTTTTTAAATCACTAAATGGCTTAGGACCGAGGTATATAGACGACCTCCTCCATCACTATGAAGCATCCAGGAGTCTCAGGTCTTCTGGGTCGGGTCTGCTCTCTGTTCCGAGAATAACCACTAAACATGGAAAAGCAGCTTTTAGTTATTATGCCCCAACAATCTGGAACAAACGTCCTAAAACATGCACGTCCGCCGAAACACTTCCTATTTTCAAATCCAGACTAAAAACGCACCTATTTGCTGCTTTTAATTGAGCTGCTCATACTCACACTACAGTATGCCTTTTTAGTCATGTATTCTGTACCTGCTGTGTTTATTATTTAATTTATTTCATTACCTTTGCTTATTATGCCTGTTTTTAAATGCCTTTTTAATAATGTATGTGTTCTTAAATGTCTTTTGCTTTTAATCTGTAGAGCACTTTGAATCGCCACGTGCTGAAAAGTGCTATATAAATAAAATTGCCTTGCCATAATGTTCGCTCACTTTCTGCTTCGTCATTCTATACCATACGGGGGTTCTGAATAAATCAGTGATTTTAGCACATTTCGCTGCCTTTTTGTTGCAGGATGGGGTGCATCCTTCCACAATAATTAACCTTGCCGTCAGTTTCAGTCGGTCCAGTCCACACTAATGTAAACAGCAGCGCACTGGTCTCGTGAGAAACGGAGAGTGGAACAACCAATCACATCTTCATTATTCTCCTGAAATTGAAATGTGCCCATTCGCTAGTCTGACAGGTGCGTGGTTCTCACTGCGCCTCATACCAGTGCAACTTTGAACAAGTTCACAATTAATGGATTTGGCCTGCAGTCACCGCATCTGGGCTGAATTACACACGTATTAATTTAGTCCTGTGTGTTTATTAGAGGCCATGTCAACAGGCCACATCATATTATGCCAGCGTTGCGTTCACAAGACATACAAGCCACAAACTGGCAATCGAAACATGCTACAACCTGAGGGACAGTGAATGAGACACACAGACACACCCACACACACCTTGAGGGAGGGAGGGACAGCTGATCACCGTGCAGCAATCAGCTGTTCCCGAGCAGAGAGAGAGAGAGCTGCTAGACACAACTCTTATTAATCCCCGTACCAGATACTATACAATGCTAACGGAGGCGAGACGTACGTTATTCACGCGCTTATCCACACGTACGTCATTCACGCGCATATACACACGTACGTTATCAACACGCATATCTAAGATAGCGCTTTCTAAGCCACACCGCCCCCACGTGAGCGCATACTTTGAGCGCATACTTTGAGCGCACCTATGATACGTCGCCGTGACGTCAGACATCGTCGTGACGTCGCCTGTATTCTACGTCAACCCATTCAAAATTGATGGAGGCGTTGGCGTACGTTGACACGTCAGTGCTCCGCTCAGTTAGCTTAGTTATCTGTTCTTTGGCACAAGTCACACCCAGTGGTGGGAATAACAGTAACCACTGTTATTTTTAACCGCCGTTATTTTTGGCAGTAACTAGTACTCTACCGCATTACTTTTTTAATTCAGTAATTCAGTTACCGTTACTACATGGCGCATTACTCCGTCAGTTTTTTTATATAGTCAACAGCCAGGCGAACAGAGATGAGAACTGTACTTACTAGACCCTCCAGAAAAACGCGGGCAAAAATCCTTGATTATGCGGGCTAAAATCCTTGATTATGCGGGCTAAAATCCTTGATTATGCGATCAAATATGCGGGGTTTTATGTGATTTTATGCGGTGAAATTGCGGGAAGTTGTGAAATATGCAGAAAGTTGCGAAATATGCTAAATATGCGGAAAAAATAAATATTGGGATGTCTTATTTATTTATTCTCTCTCACACACAACCTGCCACTAACGTTAAACCCCTTTACTATACAATTAAACACATTCAATGTTTATTTATTGTAAAAGCAATTGGGCTATTTTAATCACACTCTCTCTCACGCACACACACACACACACTTCTCCGCCTCATTCTGTTTTCATTTCATGTTCGTTATCTGACCAGCTTCAATCTTGTAGGCTTCTCACCTCGTTTCTTATAGCCCTCGAAAGGGTTTTGTTGGTCGATGCCTCGGTGAACGTGAGTTGTTTGGCTTTCTTGTCCGCAGCAGCAGAAGGCATGTTCGAATGTTTGAATGAATCAAAGTGGGTCGTCACCGTCGATGTTCTCTTATGCTCCAACACACAGTTGCACGGGGTGCAGAATAGTTTCCCCCCACTTTCGTGCAAGACATCGGGGTACTGCTTTGCCCGGTCTTTAGCAGAAATGTTCGTCGGTAAATGAGATGGATTACATTTTTTCATCTTGGTGTTTTCTCTCGCGTGTGAGCTCCATACGTTCACTCTACGGTGTTGTTTACCTTCTGTGATGCGCGAGCTGATGACGTCCCGTCATCATCATCACCACTTCGCGTCAAGACGAGTTAACTTTTTTTTCCTCAACTTTGTGTGGAAAAATGCGGGGATTATGCGGCCTTTTGATAAATATGCGGCCTTTTAAAAATGTGCGCCATTTTGCTGATTATGCGGTAAATTCTGCGATCGCAGAATCACGTTTTTCTGGAGGGTCTAACTTAAGTACAGTACTTGAGTAAATATACTTAAATATTTCCTGTGTCACATGCGGAGACGGGCTGTGGGCGTGTTTGTGTTGTTTACTAACAAGACTATCATGGCGGCGGCGGAGCTCAAGTCTAGTTTTTCCACCTGGAGATATTCTCACTATTTCACTTTTGTCGAGCACAAAGAAAAGAAAGTTTCTGTTAAATGTAAGTTGTGTCTTGGCGGGTCAAAGATCCTATCTACTGCCCAAACCAGTAATTCAAATCTCTTAAAACATCTGCAAAAACAACATGCTGGGACGAAGCTAGTAGCTAAGACCACAGAGACTCAGCCGACGCCACTCCACCTCCACCTAAGCAACAGCGGCTGGATTTTAACCAAGGGACTGCTAGCCAGGGAAAAGTCGATAAAGCCATTGCACGGTATGTTGTAGAACACATGCAGGCTATTGCTACAGTGGAGTCACCCGCTTTCAGGGAGCTAGTTAGCATGATAGCATGTCCGGGCGGCACACGGCATATGTGACGGAAAACTTTTTCCAACTACCTGGAGAAAGAATATACAAAAATGGAAAGCCAGCTAATATCGATGC